CTAACGGTATGTACGAATAAACGTTTCCAAAACAACATTATGTCTACGAAACATAAACGCACGTACAAATGTAAATTTTCATCTGATTCCTACAGGAAAAGTAGAATTATTATACACTTACATATTGCAATATTTGCGGTTTTTCAGTTAAGCGTGCACTGGACGCGTTGTCTCTCCTTGAAATTATACTAACGTTTGTTTAACAATTCGAAAGGATGTGAAACAGGATTAACCAATGAAAAGCAAAAAGCACAAAAGTAAAAAATACCATAATGTATTTCTTATTTTTCTCCATATTTCTAATGAAGTTTTAATAAAAGTGAAATATGTTACATTGATAAATGTTTACTATTTGTTCTTTATCTTATCATTCTGACGGATGCCGATTCATATATTATTTATATTCGATTCCAATTAATATGTAAAAGATTAAGAAATCCATGATTTTGATTGTAACTTTTTAATGTTGAAGGCAATTCTTCGTGTCAATTCAGTTCAAAATAATTCTGAGGGAAACTATTTTTAAATTATTGCCACCCTGACAATTAATTCATCCTCCTTTTTTGACCCTTGCGTGGGATTTTTGTTATATTCACATGATGAAGCTTCTTGACAGCTATTGTTGAATGTAAAAAATGTTTAAATACTATTTGTCTCATCGCACTTAAATAAAAATCTGTAAATTTCTAAGCCTTCAACCTAGTGACGAAGTATAGAGCGGACGATAATACTAAGATAATTAATTTCTTTCAGTTCAGCTATGAACTCTTTATTCTCTGATTTCATCCTCGAGTATGATTCAACTTCAAGAACATTTGAATAAAAATGTAACCGATTTTCATTTTCAGTTATATTCAACAATGCACATATAGGTTGGATCGTACGCTGAACAATGATTGATGGATATGATACATGGAGAGACATTATCTGAAGTAAATTAACATTGAAAGCGGTAATTTTGCCAAATGAATATGTATGTAAAATAACTTCTGATTTTATTTTTTTATCAGACATTTAAAATAAAGAAACATATATAACATATATCTTTTTCTCACACTCGAGCGAGCACACACAGACACGTCTGCGCGTGTGTTTTTGCGTGTGTCTTCTTAATTATAAAAGCGAATGTCATCACAAATATAAATTATGTGTTATAAAAACATGATTACCCATGCGAAAAGGAATTCCTCTTCGGACTCATTGCAAATAAACCTAAAAATTTTAGAAGCCACTATAATACAAAAGAAACAACAACCATTAAATGGAATATTTTTCACCATATGTTAAAAAAATTCACGTCTTAATTATAAAATCGAATATATATATATATATATATATATATATATATATATAGAGAGAGAGAGAGAGAGTTAGAGAAAGAAAAAAGACAGATATATATATATATATATATATATATATATATATATATATATATATAATCCCTCGCTTGAAGTTTCATGTACGAAAATTTAAATTTTAATAAAATATCTGGTTACCCGCAAATCTGGCGCAGTCCTTATATTATACGGGGATTGCGGGTCTTATTAAAAAAAAAACTGTATTTCATATAGACGGGATTTAAATTTTGTATTTAAAACACCAGCACGCAATGTGCGATATCTGATATTCATTTATATATATTTATATATAGAAGTATATATAAATATCTGGCAGAAAATATTTAGTCAGATATTTAACAGAAATATTACTAAATAGCGATACCAATAGAAGAGTATTCAGGGAATCAGTAGATAGCGACTGATATTGCATTCAAATTTTTGAAGATTAAAATTGACTGGAATGCATGGAAACAGAACAGTGTTCTACTTAATAGGAGTAAGAGAAAAGAAATTTTCAACATAGAACTTTTGGCTACATCTAGGCAACTCAACTGTAAATAAATAAGACAATGTCGCCAGCCTCGTACTGCGCTTAAATTCGTAAAGTCTAGGTATCATAGCTAAGAGAACATCTGGACAATTTCCATGAAATTATAGAAAAGGCGCAGAGAGGGAGGGGCACCTTACGGTGGTGTGAAAGTGACTAAAACAGAGATGTCAGCTGCGAAACAAATAATGCTGCTGATTTCTCTTTGAGTATTTTCAAGGACATTTAGATATATTGCAGTAGTACCGGACCATATATCCCAGCAATATTCTAAGCATGGGCGAATGGCAGACATATATATGTCAGATAAATATGGTGAGAAAAATTCTCTAGCGTGTTAAGTATTAGTAAGTTAGATGCTAAAATACGAAACATTTGCGAGATTCATTCGGTGTAAGGTTAAGGGAGAGAATGTCAGATAATCGAGAGAATGTATATGAAGCGGTATTAAATGAAGAAAATGCAGGAAGAATCGTACATAAGCGAACATGTAGATGAAATACATATTGGAATCAAAAAGAGAGACTGGAAAAATAGAACGTAGATTAACAGATTGGTAAATGCACGCATGCCAGCACACACTTCCATTTGTGGCGAGTTCTCCGTAAGAGAGACACTTAGGCAATATCCCATATTTCGCTTTCCTAAGATGTCCTATCTGGCGCAGTTGATTGCAAATGAGTGTTTTGGCACTTTGCAGAAAACCTGTGTCTGTAGTGAAAGACTGTCAGTTCAACTTTGAGATACGTCTAATGCTCTATGTATGCAATCTTCCGAAAGTTTTGACACGATGGCGAAATATAGTCCATGTCTCCTAAGAGTTCAGGAGTGCAGTAGGGACACACAATTTGTAGCCACTCATCTTAGTGCTGACTGAGATGTCTCTCTGACCAGACCCGGATTTCAAAATCACAGAAGGCTTTACTGGCTGCCTCAATTCTAAAATTTATTTCAAGATCCAGAGAATCGTATCTAGCGACAAAGGTAAGAAAAACCTTATGACTGTCTTTGAACAGAAATTCAAGGTCGATGAAGCGTTGGCCTGGAGAATGTGTGTACATAACCCTTCATTTTATGTTTTTAACACAGCGCATTCTATCGAAAAATGGTCCATTATGTTTTGAATGTGCACTTGGGTATGAGCAACGAGGCCCGCATTGGCATTATAGAGTAATCCTCGAATATCTGAGTGGAACAACTTTTATTTAGCCTTGAAACGAGACAAGTCAAAGATTGTACCAGTGATTCGATTACGAAGGTACACACGGACTTCACAATCCTAGAAATTATACGCAAGAGACTCAGTAAAGAAATAGAAAAAATATTGGAGCAAGTATGTCACCTTGTTTTGCATGCTGATTGTTGTGGATTCTGAGACACATTGATATAATGTCGCCCTTCCATTTCTCTATGAAGTAGTTTTTATATTCTTACAATGACTGGAGGATATCCTATCTTATCGAGAATAGTCCAGAGAGCGTTCCTATGCGTGTAGTGAAAGGCCTTAGTCAAATCAAAAATGACCTGATGTAATGCAACAAAATCACCTAAGCATTTCTACTGTAGTTGACTGATTGTTCCTCTGTCCGGTTTAAATTTTTTCGGTTTAAATGCACCTTATGTCTTCGAGATGACAAGGACAGCGCCATCTTGTAAGCAAGCAGGCCTATCATTCTCTCTCTCTCTATCTCTCTTTCTCTCTCTCTCTCTGTATATATATATATATATATATATATATATATATGTATTAAATCAGATTTCAAGGGGGCAATCACAGGCTTGACTCATTTGAAAGCTACTTATCCTTATTTCTAATTATTCATATATATATATATATATATATATATGTGTGTGTGTGTGTGTGTGTGTGTGTGTGTGTGTGTGTGTGTGTGTGTGTGTGAGTGTGTGTGTGTGTGAGAGCGTATGCGAGAAATAATTTGGATGATTTGAAATAATCATAATTCTTCGAGTCTAGAAGAATCCTCAAAGGAATGCAGAAAGCCTTTTTGTCCTATATTTGGAACTCATCAGCAGCGCGCATCCTCTACTGAGAATCGAACAAGTACCTTAAAGATCCGACGCATGAGGACCTCGACGAAGAGGTTACTAATTAGACTCGATATAACACCTTTCTTCAAATATTCCGTGGTGTAACTCATACGAGATTTCCTAACCCAACGGACTCTGACCCAGGAGCCACGACTACTATCACCAAAGCCGCTCCATCCAGAGCATGAGAAGCCGGTTCAAGCAAGGATATACAAGTGATAGAAATTATTAGGAAGATTTGAAATAATTATAAGTACGCACTTGTATATCCTTGCTTGAACCGTCTATATCGAGTCTAATTAGTAACCTCTTCATCAACGTTGCTATGACGTTTGTGTCGTATCGTTATAGTTTGGGTTCGATTCTCGGAAATGGATGAGCACTGCGGATAAATCCAAAATATACGATGAAACGGCTGTCCAGTACTTTCTGCTGAGGATTCTTCTATACTCGATAGATAACAAAAATTATATATATATATATATATATATATATATATATATATATATATATATATATATATATGTGTGTGTGGGTGTGTGTTTGTGTGTGTAGTTTAGTGACTATTCTTTCATTAATTCTCTAATAGTCACTTTCTTGAAAAATTCTTTTCGCCATGTAATATTTTAAATTCAAGTAATTGTACTTAGATTTTGAGGCGATATATTAATTTTATGCACCACACACGCGCGAACACACACACACAAACACACACACATATATATATATACAGACATATATATATACATATACATACATACATATATATATATATATATATATATATATATATATATATATATATATATACACATACACACACACACACACACACACACACATATATATATATATATATATATATATATATATATATATATATATATATATATATATACTGTGTTGTAATGCGAAAAGAATAAAAGAACGTAATAAATAAAAAAATAATTTTAGAAGGAATAAGTCGATGGGAATGAATAAGTATTGCTTATAAAGCTAGGAATGAAAATGTTGAATAAATGATAGAAGGAAAATTATTTTCTGTAGAAAGTGAAGGGAATAAATCATGGTGGGGAAAGGGAAGCAAAACGACAAAGAAATGAAGAGTAAAATTTCGATGAAATGAAAAATAGATCTGAAGACGAACAAATTACAAAAAAAGACGTGTGTTCGCCCAAAGCAAAAAAGAACGTAATAAAGAAAATGCAATGGAAGTAAATAGAGAGGACGACATAGAAGGAAAATAACCTAGAGTGAAAGAAAGGAAAAAAAAAAGGCAGCATCCAAAAAAAAGAATGAAAGAAAGAAAGACTGTATCTAAAAGAAAGAAAGAAAGCTTGTTTGTAATAAAGTATATGAAAGACACTAAGTGCAAAAAAAACCCAGTATCCAAAGGTAAGAAATATAGTATTTGAAAGAAAGAAAGACTGTATCTGAAAAAAAAAGAAAAACGGCCATAGAAAGAAAAAAAAATATTTGAATACAAAGACAGTATCTGAATGAAAAAAGGAAAAAAAAAAGACTCTATCTGAAAGAAGAAAAAAACAGTTTCTTAAAGAAACAAAAACGACAGCATCCGAAAGAAAGAAAGAAAGAATGAAAGAGAGTATTTGAAATAAAGAAATAAAGGCAGTATCTGCAAAAACGAAAGAAAGACGAAGGCAGTAATTGAAAGAAAGCAAGAAAGACATTATCTGAAAGAAAGCAAGAAGTTATCAGAAGAAAAGAAAGAAGGACACTATCAGAGATAAAAAGATAAAACATTATTTAAATGAAAGATAGAGAGAAGAAAAGAATCTCGAAGTAAAAAAGAAGGAATATGTAAGAAAGAATTGTAGGTGATTAAACAAAAGACAATGTCAAAAATAAGATAGGGGGAGCAAAAACTGCAGAGTAATAGTGACGGAGAAGGTAAGATAATGTAGGTATCATCTCAAGTTATTAGTGAATCCATAAGAAAGGACAATTTTCGCACGTAAAGTACACTTGCTTCTGCCGGTTTTCAGTTTTATGGACGCACTTCTGCACTGGACAGTGGCAGGGTTTCCAGGGAATTGCAATAAATACGATATTGGCTAATAAATTTTACTTTCAGTATTCGCGTTTTAGCCCTGAGACATGCTGGGTCGATCGAAGGCACGAGACACTTATTCACACTAAAAGGCACATACGCATTCACATGTCCATTACACTTTTGTCACTTCGAATACGAAATTTTCCAACATATTTGTCTGCAAGTCAGCTACGTTCCTACTTACATATAGTTAATATAGGCATATGTGCATTTAAGTTATATGCATATCGGAACGGATTTTCTATATATAATCCGTATAATTTGATATGACAGTCTCTTAATGTTAAATATCAGATTAAATTCTATATAATAATAATAATAATAATACAGACGTATTATGTATTAATAATTAATTAAATTCTCAAAACAGAATATCAGCCATAAACACTGTGGGTCTCCCAGTAGTGCAATAAGTTTCAACATCTTTAACTGGACTACTGCTGATATTAAGTAAATGGATGTCAAAAAAAAGAAAAATTCTCATTTGCCTCTTCATGCATCATCCTAACGATGATGTTGATCGTCTGTATGTGTCCGCATCTGAAGGAGGTAGAGGATTAGTTCCACTAGAAAACTACAAATGTCTGTATTTCTGAGATGAGGTATTTTAATTATTTACCCTATTTACATTGATCGGACTATTGTGCTTAACTTTGTTCTCATGTTTCGACCGGAGAGTTGAGTAAGAGACATCCGGAAGAGGCATGACACGTGGAACTAAAATAAACAATCCCGGTGTTCCAAATAAAGGATTCAGTTCGAAATTCCAATCAACTGAATAAGGCTGAGGCGTAAAACGGCAGAAACGTCGTGAAAACTATGACTGTCTTCAAAGTTACCTGAAAACTACAGAAGACATGATGTTGATAAATGTCAACGAAAATGAAAACAAAAGAAGAAACATTATTCAGCAATAACGACAGCCAAAATTCAAGTGGGCGAAAAAGTGCAAATAAATCATAATAAATGTACTACAACAGCAAAGTACCTAAAAAAAGAAGTGAAAGCAAAGGAAATTTACCAAATACAGAACCGATGGCAAGATAAGCCTTTTCATGGTCGTACCAAACAAGCCGAAGTAGACAAAACAGCGATTATGTAGTTAAAACCTGAAACTTATCGTTTTATTATTACACATGATTAATCCTTGCTAACTAGATATTACCAAACACACAAACTGAAAAATTGTGTTCATCAGGTTCTGTGATACATATCCTGAAACAAGTGGCCTTATTACATCAGGCTGCGCGGTATTAGCACTCACTCAATATAAATGTTTACATGTAACTATGAGTCATTATTTGCACGGGAAAGCCTGTAACTTTTATGGGAAGGCATAAGTAACAAACTGGTATGAACATCACCCAAACTCGGGTAGAGACATAGGATCTGTAGCAATTTTATGGAAAGTTACACTACACAAAGATAGGACAACCAAAACTAATCGGCAAGTGATTGTGATCAAAGACCACAAAAACAGAATGTGTCTTTTTTCTAGCACACCAGAGATTAAAATTTAAAAGAAAATCTCAAACTATTGAAGAAAATATAGAAAACACCGAAGGGAAATAGGGAGCGTCTGTTACATTTCTAAAGAGCTAGAAAAGAACACGAACTTGATATCCGAGGATAAGAGAAATTACCAAGACGACAGCATTACTAAATATATCTAGAATACTGAGAAGAGTGCTTGAGTATTGATGTAACTTGCAGTTAAACAACACCAAGTGTAAATCATCCGTTGTCACGTGTATGAAAATTCAATGGGTGTGGAGATAATAATAATAATAATAATAATAATAATAATAATAATAGATACTGAGATAGATATTCTTATACTGAGATACAAAGAACACAATCAAATAATTTAAACAGGGACTGAAATGAAACATTAAATCATAGAGTCGAATTGCTTCGCGTTTAATAGGAGATTGTACATAGCAGGTTTCACCTTTTCAAGAAGTGTATTCTTCATACGGGGGATGGAGATATATATAACGATTGGTATTTGGCGGTGCATACCATTACAGAGTAGATTTTTAGGGGGATTAGATATGTGGAATTACTTCAATCGATAGGCGCTCATTAATATTCTCTTGAATATGTGTTCTTGGAAAAGATAGTGGAGTGATTTCCACTTACACGTGTTACGTTTTTATGTTCTGTTTTGGCCTTATCCTATACTGGATAGCAGAAGTTGACGTGCATTTTAACTGACAAATAAGCGAATGAGAAAAAATGGATTACTGCTTTATAATACTCATTGTGAATGTAACTGCCTAGGATGAAAATTAAACGTAGTTCACTAAGTGGAATGTCAACGCTGATATCAGTTACACTATCTGCTCATTTTTTACCTAATTTTGAAAATTTGAAACAAAGTATAACTTTTTTTTATATTAACACTCATACAGAGCAAGCGAATCTGATCAGATATTGGATATTAAAATTTCAGCAGATATCAGAGTAAAACTGATTATTCTCTCACCAGCGGATAAATTGGAACAGTGTTGAATATCCAGACAAGAATGTGGATGAATAAAAAAAAATACTTGGATGAATTTAAACTATGGGAAAATACACACTGTCACTTAATAACAAGGAAAAGCTGCTGAATAAAGTTTGTTAAGTAAGGCATCTGCTATAATTAGCATAGCCCTCTGCAAATACAATCATTGGCGAGCAGATGGTTTCTATTTATAAATATTCACTATATTCTACACCGAATCATATGCTGTTAAAATCTATTCAGAAGTTGTTCCTGGATTGCGTTATGTCCTCCAAAATTTATGGTCTCAATTGTCACTCTGATATCCCATAACTTTCATTACACATGGGAAATGATGAGTATTCTTCTGTTATATGATTCTTGCTATGCTTTACTTAGAGGCCCAGTGGTAATGTCACCTTTATAATTTAAGAGGACTTTCTTTTATTGTAAACAACAATTAGGACAGATCTCAAAAGTGCAATTCTAAGTTTAAATACATCTTACTTAAGTCATTTCCAGAGATAGCCTTTAGTGTCCCGCTCATCATGGCCGGATCGAAGTTGATCAGAAAATCGTTCACATAATTGCTGCATTTGCCAAACGTTCATAAATATTTAATCTATCTATCTATCTATCTATCTATTATTGAAGATAATTATTCTTTGAAGCCTTATCAATATTTATTCACATAATCTCTTCCGATAGTCTTATTTGGGCGCCTCTGTCCTAGTGATTAAAATTAAGGACTGTTATAGTATATGTGCGAATATATAAGTCTTTCATCTCCTGGTTCCTATGTGTGACATCTGAATTCAGCATGTAATTTTCTCTCCATCTTCTTATTCTTGAGTTTACTTGTTCTCAGCAGATCCTGGGTTTTTCTCTGCTTTACTCAATTTTAATTATCTCCAGCTGTCAGTATTGCTTTCAGATATTTTCTTCCGTGATAATTCTTTGTTCAATTTATTGCTGGACCAAAAACGGTCTTCCGTATTAATGTCTTAATTCTCCTTTATGCCTTACTAAATCCAACATGTCTACTTCTTCTCTAGATTGTGAGACTAAGACTTCTCATTAATGTCTTAAGCAATTTATCCAAAATTTCATTTTTCTCGCTTTAAAGAATCCCGCGTCTGGAATCGTGAACATATATATTTTTTTTTCTTTTAATACCTTTTTTTTATTTTGCTGTCCAATTTTCGTTAGAATATAATTCTGGCTTAACTATGGTTTGTCTTTATTCTTATGTTGCCGCTGTGGCTTCAGTGGAAATAAGGTTATAGGAAGGAAATTACTAGCGTTACGCCCACTCAGTTTTGAATTCGTAGAAGTGCATCTTCTAGACGCTTTAACTATGAAGGCGAGAAATCCGTCTACTCTGTTATTTCACCCGAATTTGCGTACTATTTGCAAGTATATCTGCACGAAAACGAACACAATGTCCTCAGCCAGAATTTAAAGAAAGCTCACGGATCCTATACTCTTACGGATAACCACTACGCCACACACATATTTTATGTGAACTGATAAATTTGTTACAACCAAATCTTAAAAAATGACTTATATTGGTATATTTTCACAAATTAAAATTATAGCAAAATTTTAAATTCGAATGTAATCACACACACACACACACACACACACATATATATATATATATATATACGCTGTGCTTATATAAAAATATATATATATATTTCGAACCATATGCAAGCTCAGTACCTCTGTGTTTCAAAAAAAAGTTTCTCCGCACGGTGGGCCCACAACAGCTGGATGATGTTAGGCTGCAAACTGTCAACGTTGTTTGCTGGACGCGACTCGATACGATTTTATGGTTATTCCACGCACTGCCTTCCACTGTTTTCTCCCTACAGGTCTTTATCACCTAACTGGGCTCTTGGATACCAGCGCACTTGATGAATTTTTTTAAGGAAGCAGCAGGGAGGATTCTTCTACCATCCTCAAACGGTACCGGGGTGCAGCCGTATCCCCAGTCACAGACCTCAGCGACCAGTTCCTCATACCCAAGCAGATTTCTTTCATGAGCCTCATCAATCCCTTCCACCCTTACCACTCTCAGCTCGCCAATCAACAGACGTTTTCTCCTCGCTATCAATCAGCAGCCT